GTTCAATTTTTGTTTCAGTGTCCTTTAGTACAACGACGATTCCTGATGAGTGTTGTACGAAAACTTGTTTGAATCCATATTTTTTCCCTACACCATTTCTTCATATTTTCATCGTTTTATTGCACATCGTCTCCACCGTTTTTACATTGCATGAATAGAGTACACAAATGTAGGTTCAGCTAGTTCTATTGATTGCGGTTATCAAATTATTATTATTATTATTATTATTATTTTTTTATTATTATTATTTTCTCTTTCCCTCAAAACCAGTTAATTATTATTATTATTATTATTATTATTAAGTAGTGGTTGCGACTTCGGCGATGACTTGTAAGAAAGGGTTTGCTCCCCACACCGGAGCTCGCGCTATTCCGCCGAATTTACTTGACACTCTGGATGGCAGTCGTGAGTCAGTCAAGTGTCAAGTAAAGTCGGCGGAATAGCGCGAGCTCCGGTGTGGGGAGCAAACCCTTTCTTATTATTATTATTATTAAGCTTACGTGGAGCTTACTCTATTTATTGCGTTGATTATTATTATTATTATTACTTTTCCCGTTTGTCTCTTTCCCTCACACTAGTGAAGATTTTATGACTTGGGGCTCCCCGCGTGCTAGAATGTACGTGAAGTGTGTGGGTACAGTGAGGGCTGCGTCCCACCCGCCTGTGTGGATTCACAGGAAGTGTGAGTTACGAAGTCTGAAGAGAATGTTGAACAGTCTCTGCTAGGATGACGACTGCACCATAGCTCAGTGGTTAGAGCATCGCTAGCTACAAGCGAGGGTCAATGGTTCGAGTCCTGGTGGTGACAGTCAATTTTTTCTTCAGACTTTTCCCGTTTGTCTCTTTCCCTCAAACTAGTGAAGATTTTATGACTTGGGGCTCCTCGCGTGCTAGAGTGTACGTGAAGTGTGTGGGTACAGTTAGGGCTGCGTCCCACCCGCCTGTGTGGATTCACAGGAAGTGTGAGTTACGAAGTCTGAAGAAATGTGGAACAGTCTCTGCTGGGATGACGACTACACCATAGCTCAGTGGTTAGAGCATCGCTAGCTACAAGCGAGGGTCCCTGGTTCGAGTCCTGGTGGTGACAGTCAATTTTTTCTTCAGACTTTTCCCGTTTGTCTCTTTCCCTCAAACTAGTGAAGATTATTATTATTATTTTTTCTTCTTATTTTGTTAGGGATTTCCCATGACAGTACGTTGCTGGTTGTGATTATTTTCCATAAATTGCGTTTATTTTATCTTTCACAATGAGTTCAGAGTTTTACTGCCAGAGGCAGTTTTGCGTTCTAGAGAGAGAGAGAGAATTGTGAATAAAGTTCGTTTCGAGTTGTTAGGTTATTTTGCCTCCAGACCATGCTTGTTAGATATTGCATGCTTGTTAGATATTACATGAATAAGTATTGTCACAAACTAATGGTTTGCACCAAGCATACATACAAGCATACAAGCAATTGATTATACAATCTTCTTCCTTCTTTCTATCGTGTCTTCTAAAGTATTTTACTTACCTTTTGCGCCATGGCACGCCTACGATGTTCCCATGGTCTTCATGTACGACATACGGTTTTCTAGCCTGTTTTTCCTGGGGCTTGTCTCCTCGTGGTGTCTTCTGTTTCATTGGTTTTTCATTACGTGGTCTAATGATGAGTTACAGTTTTAGCCTGTGAACTAAGAGAACCCAAGATGCGCTCGCGTTGAGCCAAAGAAGTCTTAAGCCTAGTTCACATTCGACGCAACGCCGACGGTACGGGACGTAAGGGCTTGTCGGGAGGGCTCGGGTGAGCTGTAAAATCCGTTACGATTCGTAGGACACGACATGCAGCAGTCGTTGCGACCTTTAACTTCGAACAGCGCTAGTCATAAGGCACGGTCCGTGACGAGGTGACTTTCGGACCTAGTTGTACTGAAATCCTGTCAAAGTAAAAAATTCTTCATGACAGTTGGGGTCAATGAAATCTGATCTAGGCATAACGAATGGTGACGCCTGCCACCCCGGAAACGAATGCCCTTTTGGTGGGGGATACCAACGTGCTCGGAAGTGGTGCGTGTTTCAATGTGGCATTTGGAAGTTCTATATGATCTCTGGTCAATGCAACATACGATAGCAAGAGAACATAAACCAGAGTGTGCAACTGTGCATATCAGATCTGAAACATCGCTGTTCGTGCACTACATCACCCTGATGAGGTCAGCCAAGCCGCGACTTGCGTACAGCTCAAATTTTCATGTTTCATAGCCCGGAAATCAGCCAAGTTTGCTTGATTTTAGACGTCCTGCTTCAGGATTTTGGTGTTTTGTGTGACTGTGAACATCCACCGACAAGTAAAGTCACCAGGCTATCCGTATCAAAAAACTGAAATCAGGACAAACTCAATGACCTGCACCACCGCGACTGGTTACGCAACTTTTCACCGTACGTGTGGCTTACCATACCGTCAGAAATGACGCACTGCACGAATTACGCTCCCACAGGAACCATCCCGAGTTGCACACTCTGGTTTATGTACTCTTGACGCTAGCCATCATGAATTGCAGACCTCGAACGCAACTCAGACCAGAATTGGCAGTTCCCTAAGTTAGATGCTTTATAATTCCATGGCCCCAGCTGTAGTTATAGAGGTTTTTTGCACATTATTCTTATAGTCGATAGGTTTATACTGATGGCCACTAACAATGGCAGTTCAAACTTCACTGATGTGTTCATTAACTGAGAGATTTCTCTCCACTATTTCTGTTGGGCACACAAGTCTGTCCAATATGCATTGACCGTATTGGGTATGGTATCTGCTCTGAGAAGGGAATCGCTGGAGCCACAGTCAAACTATACAGGCTTTCAAGAAAAAGAGAGGAGCCATCTTTGCAAGCTGATACCTGATGTGTACCGACAGAATTCTCACGAGATACCATACGGACTACGTCTATTTTATACTCCATAGTACTCCTTAGAATCAAGTTGACTGAAATAAGTTCAAAAGTGTAAATTCATATTGAGTGCTACGTCCGTTGAAAGAGCATGAAAAGCTGCAAATTCTCTGAAAATTGTGTCCCGATCTGACCAGCCGTTCAAGAGTTATGGCCGAAAATGTGCCCTTGCAAGGAAAGTTTTTTTGTTGCACGCTGTCATTTGTTGGCAGCACTGTATTTGAATGTGAGCAGACCGCGCGCAACTTGTCGTATCATCGAAACACGCGAAAGTGTGCAGAATTGTGCTCCAAGTCCAAAAAATCACGAAAAAAAATCCACGTATTAGGCTGCACGGCGGCGGGCTTCGAGCACCCTCGCGACGGTACAGATACGTGGCTTGATTATTGTAGTTGACGTTGATTTAGTGACTTTGGCAAGAAGTCAGATAGGATTCAGTACTAGGCAGCAGTGGAACGTGAGTGGTAGTGTTTGCCGGTTTCTGAGGGTATCCTGGATTTGGTGTGCAGCGCTGTGGAAATGGCTTGCTGTGGAGGTCCCAGCACGGGATGCTGTATCAAAGGTACGACCTCGTAGCACACCCTAAACCTAAAAAAATTCAAAAATTGACTTGGGTCTGTGGGAGTCTGTGAGAGAACGCCCACTCGTTCCGTTGTGACAGATTCCAGGGTCACATTGAGGGGCCCTACCCCACCACCCGTGGCTGCTTCTGGACTTAATTTAGGTTTGGGTCCCGCGCACGTACAGAATGGGCACAAAAATGTGAAAAAATTGTAAATGCATTTTCTTGGCTCCTGAGTGCCTCGCACACCGTGGCACTATGCCGGAAATTTGAGTTTTTCCGGCCTGTAAAGCCTGTCAGTAAGGCGCAAGAACTTTTAAATCTTGTCCTGAGGGCCAGCATAGTGGCAGGAGTGTGTGGTCAAAATTTCACTCAAATCCATTGAGAAACACCAAAGTTACGGTCAATTGAATGCCATATGAAATTTATGGGTAGGCTGCCCCCCCCCCCCCCCCTTTGCGTGCTGAGTACGAGTTAACTCACAATTTTATGCATGACCTGATCCACTACGTACGAGTTAACTCGCAAAAACATCGCGCGATACATCGCAGTGCATAGACCAGTGTACAAACTTTCGTAACTTCGTCAAACATAAACGCATCGCGACAATTAATACATCGTTAGAAAAATCTTGACCTCAGCTTTCCGGCGATATAAAGTTCTTCGCGATAGGATAAGAATTCATTGAGCGGCGAGAAGATGAAAACGGAAATCATGGCCCAGAGTGAACGCGAATTTTTTGTTCATTACTTCTTTTTGTTGAGGAGCGTGCCAGGGGATTTCCCTTTGGCACGGCGCATGCGTGAAGGACATCAAATGAAGCGCTTGGATCTGAGCTTTGCAGCGCAGTTTGAATTGTGAAAATCTGTTGAATTTGGGCAAGAAGCCGAAGAAGAATGTGAAATAGAGTTGTTGTGCCGTTCCGAGGCACGGTGGAGTAGTTTGGAGAGGACGTGGAAGTGGCCCTGATGTGTCTATGGAGCTGAGAGCAGCCAGGATGGATTCGCTTGGTCCTGATCTTTCCAACGAGCCCAGGACGATGAAAATCCATCAAGGTGGAGTGAAATGAGAATAAATTTCGTTCGGAGATGTGAGTGCATGCTCCACTAAGAGAGTCAGTGCGCTGGAAAGCCAGTGGATTGGAGAAAAGGGGCTCAGCATGCAAAGGGTTAAAAGAGATATCATCCGGTACTGCCTTCGTGTAAGCAAAATATTTCATTATTTTTACCATGTCCGATGTGACCACTATACTTGACCCCTCTATATACATCTCTAGAAGTTGACTATCACAGTGTACCTGACGTATTTGGGTATAAAGAAAGGCCAGTTCAAAGGTCAAATTCCATGCAGTATAGCAATACCTCGCAGGACAAACGGGGTTTCCCCGTGCAGTATCGAAAATACTGCATACGCCATGAAATCATGTTATTGTTAGGCTTCATATACGACGAAAATCACGCAGAGAATAGCAAATTAATGGTGATTTACTTCGTGGCAGCATCGCCCTTGTACTTACATTGAATCTGTCTTTGCCTGGCGTGAGGGTAACATGCTCTGAAATAGTGAAAGAAGAAAGCACGCAAGCACAAGCATGTGCTATCAATGAGACGTAGAAATACATGTACATGTGGGAATAAAAGGACTTGTGACTTTTGTTCCCCTGCTGCCGTGCTCATATTAGTTATCTAACTATCTTCTTCTCGGTTCTGTTTCTCCGCTTATTTTTTTATATTTTTTTCTTTTCTCTTATTATCAGTGGGGCCATTGTCATTAGGTTTAGGCCTGTTTTGGACCTCCACTTTAAATAAAGCCAAACAACAACCACAACAACAACAACAACAACAACAACAACAACAACAACAACAACAACAACAACAACAACAACAACAACAACAACAACAACAACAACAACAACAACAACAACAACAACAACAACAACAACAACAACAACAACAACAACAACAACAACAACAACAACAACAACAACAACAACAACAACAACAACAACAACAACAACAACAACAACAACAACAACAACAACAACAACAACAACAACAACAACAACAACAACAACAACAACAACAACAACAACAACAACAACAACAACAACAACAACAACAACAACAACAACAACAACAACAACAACAACAACAACAACAACAACAACAACAACAACAACAACAACAACAACAACAAAGGACTGTTCTCGGTGATCTCGCAAGTGCCAGAATTTTTTTAATAGTCATCCCCTGAGAGAGAAATTGTTGGTACATACAGAACATCCATGGGGTATCATCCCAGACTGAACCTGTGGTGACTCGATCGCATATGCACTCGGTAAGCAGGGACTCAAGACTACCAACTTACCAATTTCTTCGGGCTTGATGATTCTACCAATGAAACTGCTGACTCCAGCCGAGGTTTGAGTAGCTTCGTCACTCGTTACCTCTGCTTGTGTGGTGGTCGAGACAGGCACTGACAGCAGTGGTCTCGGAATTTCGTGTCCCTTAAGGAGCGTAGCAAGACAAAGACAGAAGGGAACGGTGTTTGGAAAGATCAGATTATATTGCTATCACCCAAGTTTTTATTCCACATTGTCTCCGGGAATGGACACGATAATTTACTTTTTTTTACTTTTATTGTCTCCACCGTTTTACAGTGCATGAATAAAGTACACAAATGCCGATTCAGCTTGTCTTATTGATTGCGGTTATCAAATTATTGTCTCCTCGCCATTTGTTAAAATATCACCCAAGTGATCATGTTACTACTTCTATTGGCACATTTATGGTACTCTGTAAGAAGGCCTTGAGACTGTGGGGATGGCCCTATCAAAAAATTTAATTTATAGAAAAGAAAAGGACCAAGGAACTACAAGTAACGCTATAATGTCCACTGATACCACCACCAGTTACTAAACAATCAGCTCATGCGATAACATTGCTCGGCACTGACCGACGATACTGACGTTCTATAACTAACTGGCTATCAGCTCTAGTTGTAGAACGTCAGCACCGTCGGTCAGTGTCGTGCAATGTTATGGCATGAGCTGATTGTTTAGTAACGGGTGGTGATAGTGGAAATTACAGCGTAACTTGTAGTTCCTTGGTCATTTTTCTTTTCTATAAATAATAATACTTGTTACCAGACTATCGCGTCACACATTAAATTTTGTTTGCGCAAGGATTTCTCGCAAGAACATTTTCAAACAGGAGTGCTTTCACAAGTTGTAGCGTCAAAATGTATATTACAGCTGAAAAGATACCGTGAAATCGAAAAGATCGGTCTGAATCAGGGCTCGAATGCGAACCGCCCTTATAAAATTAATACCAAGTAGAGAATGCGTGATACGGCGGGAGGGGGGGGGGGAGGAGCATTCAATAAGCTGATTCACTCGCGAAAGTTTAAGTGGTAGTGCAAAACAAGAACACATTTTGCAAAGCACTCACCATTCCATGGAGTAACAGTTCATGGAGTGTATTCTTGGACTCTGGAGCGGCAAAAGAAGCAAACAAAAAGGCAGCCCCGGTGAAACCATTTGAAAATAGAACTAACTACACGGGCACAATCATGGGGTCATAGACACCACAGCAGGGTATATCCTTCCAGTGACAGAGAGTCTGAACTTCTCCACGACAAACACAAAGGGCCAAGGGAATTGTGTGGAACAGCTTCACTGCTCCATCAAGAGATATGTAGTGCAAGGGTGCACCAACTACATTCCATTCACAAAATGACGAGCACTGATTCTGGTGAGCTCCCGTATTAAAGTTATTTGGTGATTTTCGTGATTTTATCGTACACGATGCAGTGCCGCGAAATTTAAAACTATACTTGTTACTTGAAAAGGGGTCCAAAAGGTACCTCAACCGGTGTACGAACCTGCACAATGTACTATCGCAAGTGGAGTGAAGTGGCCTGCATTTTCATGTTTTCTCAATTCAGTGCTTTTGGGGAAAAACCTGGCCGAAATCCTATTCTTGTTATGGCTTCCTTTTTGGAAAAATAGATTTCATGAACATAATTGGAAGAGCATTCCATGGGTTGCGAAGAAATTTTGAAAAAGCTCACAATTTAAAAAAGAAAGGGATGAATGGATACAATGGATACAAGTTAAGAGTAACTGTCCACCACTGTAATTATATTATCATGTGACAGTCAGAAAGTGCAACAACTAGGCATAACACTGACAGGGTACTGAGACATTCGACGACCTGACACTTAGCTCTAACACATCTCTGAAGCGCTAACCAAAGTAGACCAAAGAGTGGAAAGTATGCAAAATGAAAATGAATATGAGTACCCGCTGAAGTCACACGGGAACAAGGAATGTCGATGGTTACTGTCACGAACCATACGGCGAAACGTACGTTGTGTGAAACTACTTGTTTCATAGTCATCTAGTCCATCACATTGTCATGCATGAGAAGTACTGTAAGAGTTCGGCGTTCGGTTTTGTACAATTCGTTTTCGCAAAACTTCCCCTTGTTTGCTTTTCTTTGATATTTCTGAGCCGCCCAAGTTGGGTGGAGTGCTGCTTTGCTGCTCCGAATTTTACTTAGACCGCTTTCTCAAGTATCTTACTGGTCTCGGCATCGTCCAATAACAGTCGCCATTCTTCGTTCCCGTGGGACTTAAGCTTGTACTCATTTTCGTTGCACTTACCTTCTCCTCTTTGGTCTACCTTAACTACTTAGAACCTTCCGAGTTTGAAGGCTGTTGGTTAGTGATTCGGAGATGTTTTCGAGCTAGGTGTCAGGTCGTCGAACGTCTCAGTACTTTGTCAGTTTTGTGCGCAGTTGTTGCACTTTCTGACTGGATATATTATCTTCTTAACTTGAAGTAGTTACAGTGGTAGATAGTTACACTAAACTCGTATCCATATGTCCTTTTCTTTCTACATTTATTATTGGCTCAACAACCGAATTTCAAAAAGTTCAAAATTTGACGCGTCAAAAGCTAGGATATCATCTTTTATGAATGGACTGTAGTGTAGCAGGCTCCATTCATCATTTCATAAGAGAACATGCACGCTGTCAAACACAATAAACCAACCAAAGAGAATCACCCAATGCACACACACACACACACACACACACACACACACACACACACACACACACACACACACACACACACACGTCACACAGGTGCACCTTGTGCCCAGGCGACAGAGGAGCAGACTCAGCGAGGGGTGAAATAGGAGATGTGACCTCGACATATGGGAATGTCCTCACCATAAGACGTCAGATCTCGAGATATAGGTATACCATTGACAAAGGGCAGTGAGATGAACAATGGGTTGTGAGTTCGACAAATGGTTATGACCTCGACAAAGGGTTGTGACCTCGACAAAGGGTTGTGACCTCGGCTAAGGGTTGTGACCTCGACAAAGGGTTGTGAGTTAGAGAAAGGGCATTGACCTCAACAAAGAGTTGTGACCTCAACATTGTCTGCTTACATTCGAGATGGAATTGGGTTGCAGACCAAAACAACTGGTCACACTTGGCACGTACAGTGCATGGCAATAAAACATAGCCCGTCCATTATGGATTTTACTCAGTTGGAGAGCCAAGGTTTAATTTATACAAAAATTATCACATGAGCTGATTGTTTAGTAACTGGTGGTGTTAGTGGACAGTATAGCGTAACTTGTACTTCCATGGTCTTTCTCTTTTGTATGAATTATGGATTTTAATTGAATTTTTTGCCTGTTCAAACGAGCGAATGAAAAAACACTCAGTACCGTATTTTCCGGAGTATAAGCCGCACTTTGAACACTCAAATTTCACCCCAAAAAAGGGGGTGTGGCTTATACTCTGGTGATCAACTTAATGGCGATAAAGAGGATAAATGTCTGTATTTCATAGCAAAAATGGGGGGGTGCTTCTATCCCGGGAAATACAGTACATTCATTTCCCAACTTCACTATTCACCTACCCGCTCTTTCAATTGGCTTAACGCTCGGTCCTGACGACAAACGTGCGCCTCTTGGCCTTGATTTTGACCTTTTGGCATCAAGCAGCACTGGCTTGGCCTTTCTCCGATTCACAGCTTGTTGGAGGTTATGCTTATCTTGCTCTGCCAGACGCTTCCCCTCAGCAAGGCGGGCAATCTCCTTAGCGCTCAAGCGAGCATTTTCTTCAGCAAGACGAGCTGTCTCCAGGGCCGCAACACGATGGTGCTCTGACTCTTCCTTCTCCAACTTAAGTGCTTTTTCCAACTCCTCATTTTTCTTCAGGCTTTGTAGAAATCTGGCCATCAGTTCATTGACATTGATATCCGACTGAGTGGATGGTGTAGCTTTGCTTGCGGCCACGTCATCAGCTTCTAAAGAGAACAGCAAAAGTGACATTGAAAAAGAGGAGGAGGAAACAGTGAAAAGAAGATACTGTGATAGTTGAATCTCTAACCGGGTACAACGTCTAGCTTTTTAACGAGAAAGAGTCCATCGTTAACTCAAGAAACGTTACACGTATGTTATTCCTTCTCTACGTTGCACTAGAGAAATAGAAGATAGGTGTGTGCTGGCAGGGTCATTAAAAACTGTGTGCCCGCTTAGTGGTAAAATTGGAAAAATCTTTAAACTTTTAAAAGACTCGTTACACTTTCAACTCTTACAGTATTATCAGCAAGCCACATTAACAACAACACTAAGTATTATCAAAGAGAGACAGGAGGCAAGAGAGATGGGCGACTGAGTGAGCAGGCATCCATCTGGTAAGCGTTAAAGTTGCCGTCCCCAGACAGCTTGTTTTTTCACGACAGTTTATATAGAGCCCTTTAGCTTTGATACTATACTTTTTGTCGGTTTAACATGCTTTGTAGTTCACTAGACTTCATTGTGGCCGTTTCGGCCAGTCACTCAAGCTCTGTTCAAACAAATAGCTGTCCGCAGAGTGGACAAATATATAGTTCAAAATAGCAACAAGGAGAACAGAATGAAGACTGCGTTGCAACTCCGAGTTTCACGCATGAGGCGATCATCAGACACTAGAGAGGTTTTAAATGCACGTTATTTCCGACGTGACGCGCAATTTCACGTCAAATTTGGCGTAAAACTCCAAATTTCGACGTGAGCAGCAGGTCGCTCGCGTTAATTTTTCGACGTGCGAGCAAATAACGCGAGCTGAACTTTCGCGTCACGTCGGAAATAACGTGCATCTTAACCTCTCTACTAGCAACTGGAACCTCTGGAACCTTTTTCTGGTTCGTACTGGATAGATCCCCGTTTCTTCACAGTTCTTGGCACAAAAAGAAAACTCAGGCAACAGAGAAACCCTGCTTCAGACTACCCAGACAGCAGTGGGACACCTCAAGTTTTTTCACCTAGTCAGGAATCAGCCAAACCAGACCAGCTTAACAAGGAGCTGGGAACTGCTCACTGCCCTCCAGATGACAAGGGAGGCATTATGGTGGCCAAGGGACGAAAAACCTTCAGAGTGCCAAGAAAACTTGATGACTTTTCAGGAAATGAGCTACTGACCGACTCGGACATGGAACAGGAGGACATGGGTAACAACGAGAGCAACGACCGGCATATGACAGTTGGCGAACTCACCATATCGTATAAGATCATGACCAGTGTAGCTTTCTTAAATGTCTGTAGCCTTAAGAGAAAGTAGCAGAAATTGAAGACTTTATCTCAACCCGTGGAATACACATCCTAGGCATTGCGGAAACTTGGCTGTCAGCCGATGTAACAGACGGAGAAGTAAACATTCCTCACTTCAGTGTGTTCCGCAAAGATCGGGAAGGCAGGCAAGGAGGCGGTGTTGCCTTCTACTGTCATACGTCCTTGCAAGTCCGTCGAAGACGTGACCTCGAGTGTGAGCTGGAGATGCTGTGGCTGGAGATTCTAGCCCCAGGTCGACCAGGCAATGAGACGGTCTTACTGGGCTGCTGCTATCGACCGCCTAGTGAATATGCGGGCTACTGGGATGAGCTGGAGTCAAACCTAGATACTGCGTGCAGTGGACCGCAGACCACAACTGTGCTAGTAGGAGACTTCAACGTAAATTTTAATGATGCCCATACTGTGACTCCTTTGCATCATGTACTCAACCAGTTTAACCTTCGCAACCACGTCACAACTCCTACCCGAGTGACCAGCAGTACTGCCACACGACTGGATCTATTCTTGTCTACCACCCCGATCCGGGGTGTTTGCGAAACTATACATTTGGATATCAGTGACCACTCTGCAATACTTGCCAGGCTGCCAATTTCAGCAAGTCACCACTTGAAGGGACAGTATCTGCGCAAGACTCGTTGTTTGCACAAAGTGGATTGGAATATGTTTACATGAGACCTGGAGAAGACGCTAACTGCCGCTGCGATAATAGCAGCAGCAGCCACGGCAAGAGCAGTGCCTGTGACTCTGTCTTACCGTAGCTGTTTTTCACTGTACGTGTTGTGGTTGGTTCACATTAGCAAAATCGGCACCGCAAGACATCACAAGGCATCGGCGGTGAGCCAGCTCCCGATTAGTTGCGCATACGGTTCGAGTATATTTATTATGACTTGTAGTTACCGAAGAAGAAGAAGAAGAAGAAGGAAAGTAATTCGCACCAATAAAACTGGTGGGTAAAAAACCGTCTCGACTGTTTTTTAGGCAGTGACGGAGAAAGTAAAAGGAGAAAAGAAAAAAAAAGGAAGCGGATGCCACTGTGGGCCAATGCCTGAGGTTGAGCAAAAACGGTGAAGGCTAAAAACCTCTTCAGAGCGGGAGCAGGCCAGTGCTCAGCGTAGTGCAATATGGACGAGACTCTTGTAGTGAAGTTGTGGACGAGACTGTTGTAGTGAAGTTGTGTTGTGGCGTCTTGCAGCTAAACAGCAGCTTGGTGCAGCGAAAGCATACAGCGAATGGCAGCGCGCAGTGTTGTGGCTTTGTGCAATAGTAGCTCTATGCGGCGAAAGCATCTACTGATAGACTCGCTCCAGCGCGGCGCAGGACAAGCAAGTAAACTAGAAAAACGAAAAAAAACTAACGAAAGCTCGACTTGGTTGGCGAACACCCACCTCCGGCCCTTTAGAAGCCGGTGTGGCAAGTTAAAACCAAGATTTGAAGGGTACCCAACTATCCTCGCTGGGTGGCTGTCCGCCAACCAAGTGCCAACAAACGGCCTCTCGGGGACTTTTAAAACAGTGGCCAGTCGCGCCAAGCCTTCTCACGTCGCCTCAGCCAGATAACGTACCTGGAATTTAGTGCTGCGTTTCTGCAGTTCCTTCTTATTTGGCGCTGTTTTTCCTTACAACAGCCCAATGCCCGTGCCAAACCGTCCAGGCTGCTGGAAATGGCTCCTCTAGCTCCCACCTCTGCTGTGAGGGCCTCGACTTCCCAGCCATTCTTCACACACTCCTGTTTGAGGTGGCGATACCGTGACAGCTTCTTCTCCCTGGACTGGATGATGCGGTCTTCGCTACACACCGTGAGTTCCAGCCAAAGAACCCTTCTCAATTTCTTCGAGAAGAGAACTATGTCTGGACGACACGTGGTAGGTGCAATAAAGTGTGGGAATACCAGCCTCTCGTCCAGATCTGAAAGAAGCTGCCAATCACGTGATCCTGACAAAAAACCATCGCTCAGACCTTTCCGCTGAGGTAACTGGCCATGGGGGATGTTTTGACCCGGTTTACAGAAGGTAATGTATGTACCATTAGTGGGAATTTGCTCGGTATTTGACGACTTTTGCTTTGCTGATACTATATCTGTCATGAATTTACTGATCTGTTTCAGGACGTTGTCATGGCGCCACGTGTACCTTCCTTGATGGAGTGAGGAAGGGCAGGCGGTGAGAATGTGCCTCAGTGTTGATGTCCGCTGACAAAGAGGGCAATTCTGGTCCACAACAGAGTTGCCCCATCGTCTCAGATTGTCAGGCGAAGGCAGAGTATTAAGTAAAGAAGAAGAAGAAGAAGGAAAGTAATTCGCACCAATAAAAACTGGTGGGTAAAAAACCGTCTCGACTGTTTTTTAGGCAGTGACGGAGAAAGTAAAAGGAGAAAAGAAAAAGAAAAAAGAAGCGGATGCCACTGTTGGCCAATGCCTGGGGTTGAGCAAAAGCGGTGAAGGCTAAAAAGCTCTTCAGAGCGGGAGCAGGCCAGTGCTCAGCGTAGTGCAATATGGACGAGACTCTTGTAGTGAAGTTGTGGACGAGACTGTTGTGGTGAATTTGTGTTGTGGCGTCGTGCAGCTTAACAGCAGCTTGGTGCAGCGAAAGCATACAGCGAATGGCAGCGCGCAGTGTTGTGGCTTTGTGCAATAGTAGCTCTAAGCGGCGAAAGCATCTACTGATAGACTCGCTCCAGCGCGGCGCAGCACAAGCAAGTAGACTAGAAAAACGAAAAAAAAAACCGAACGAAAGCTCGACTTGGTTGGCGAACACCCACCCCCGGCCCTTTAGAAGCCGGTTTGGCGAGTTAAAACCAAGATTTGAAGGGTACCCAACTATCCTCGCTGGGTGGCTGTCCGCCAACCAAGTGCCAACAAACTGCCTCTCGGGGACTTTTAAAACAGTGGCCAGTCGCGCCAAGCCTTCTCACGTCGCCTCAGCCAGATAACGTGGCTGGAATTTAGTGCTGCGTTTCTGCAGTTCCTTCTTAATTGGCGCTGTTTTTCCTTACAACCGCCCAATGCCCGTGCCAAACCGTCCAGGCTGCTGGAAATGGCTCCTCTAGCTCCCACCTCCGCTGTGAGGGCCTCGACTTCCCAGCCATTCTTCATACACTCCTGTTTGAGGTGGCGATACCGTGACAGCTTCTTCTCCCTGGACTGGATGATGCGGTCTTCGCTACACACCGTGAGTTCCAGCCAAAGAACCCTTCTCAATTTCTTCGAGAAGAGAACTATGTCTGGACGACACGTGGTAGGTGCAATGAAGTGTGGGAATACTAGCCTCTCGTCCAGATCTGAAAGAAGCTGCCAATCATGTGATCCTGACAAAAAACCATCGCTCAGACCTTTCCGCTGAGGTAACTCGCCATGGGGGATGTTTTGACCCGGTTTACAGAAGGTAATGTATGTACCATTAGTGGGAGTTTGCTCGGTATTTGACGACTTTTGCTTTGCTGATACTACTTCTGTCATGAATTTACTGATCTGTTTCAGGACGTTGTCATGGCGCCACGTGTACCTTCCTTGATGGAGTGAGGAAGGGCAGGCGGTGAGAATGTGCCTCAGTGTTGATGTCCGCTGACAAAGAGGGCAATTCTGGTCCACAACAGAGTTGCCCCATCGTCTCAGATTGTCAGGCGAAGGCAGAGTATTAAGTATCGCGTTCATTTGGAACGATATCGTCCTTCCATAGCCCTCGTATAAGAGTTTCCGC